CTCCTTCTTCTCCTCTCCTCTCCTCTTCTCCTCCCGTCCTCATCTGCCTCCTCCTCGCCCTCCTCCCCCCCTCCTCCTCCTCCTCCTCCTCCTCCTCCTCCTCCTCCTTCTCCTCTCCTCCTCCTCCTCCTCCTCGTCCTCCTCCTGCTCCGTTTCCTCCTCCTCGTCCTCTTCCTCTGCCTCCTCCTCCTCCTCCTCCTCCTCCTCCTCCTCCTCCTCCTCCTCCTCCTCCCTCCTCCTCCTCCTCCCCTCCTCCCCCTCCTCCGCCTCCTCCTCCTCCTCCTCCTCCTCCTCCTCCTCCTCCTCCTCCCCTCCAGCACCACCACCACCACCACAACCACAACCACTCAGCAGCATCATCATCTTCATCATCAGCATCAGCATCAGCAGCATCAGCATCAGCATCAGCATCAGCATCAGCATCAGCATCAGCATCATCATCATCATCATCATCATCATCATCATCATCATCATCATCATCATCATCATCATCATCATCATCAACAGCATCATCATCATCAGCAGAATCAACATCAGCATCATGAGCATCACCATCATCACAAGTATCATCATCATCAACAACATCATCGTCACCATCATCATCATCATCATCATCATCATCATCATCATCAGCATCAGCAGCAGCAGCATCAGCATCATAATCATCATCATCATCAGCATCATCATCATCATTAGCATCATCATCACACTCAGCAGCATCATCGTCATCATCATCATCACAAGTATCATCATCAGCATCAGCAGCATCATCGGCATCAGCATCATCGTCAACATCAGCAGCAGCAGCATCAGCATCAGCAGCGGCATCATCACCACCACCAGCAGCATCATCAGCATCATCTTCATCATCAGCATCATCAGCTGCATCAGTATCATCAGCATCACCATCAGCATCAGCATCCTCCTCAGCATCATCATAACCAGCATCAGCATCGATAGCATCAGCAGCAGCATAACGTCATCATAAGATAGCATCAGCATCATCATAACATACCATCATCAGCAGCATAACCATCAGCAGCATCGATAGCACCAGCAGCAGCATCGATCAGCATCAACATCATAACCAGCATCAGCAGCATCATCGTCAGCAGCCGCAGCAACATCAGCATCAGCATCAGCATCAGCATCATCAACAGCATCAGCATCGGCATCAGCAGCAGCATCAGCATCAGCATCGTCATCCGCATCAGCAGCATCGGCCTCAGCAGCATCGGCATCCACATCATCATCAGCAGCATCGGCATCAGCATGTGCATCATCAGTATCAGCATCACTAACATCATCAGCAGCATCAGTAGCATCAGCCTCGGCATCATCAGCATCATCAGTATCGTCAACGTCGTCAACATCATCAAAACCATCGACATCATCATCATCATCATCATCATCATCAGCAGCAGCAGCAGCAGCAGCAGTATCAGCGTCAGCATTACCATCATCAGCATCATCAACATCATCAACAACAACATCATCAGTATCATCAGCATCATCATTGATAGCTTCAGCATCAGCAGCATCATCGTCAGCATCAGCAGCATCAGCAGCAGCAGACGCACCATCATCATCAACAACAGCATCATCAGCATCATCATCAGCAGCATCGTCGTCATCAGCATCAGCATCAGCATCAGCACCAGCATCAGCATCAGCATCAGCATCAGCATCAGTATCACCACTAGTATCGCCATCATTAGAATCAGCATCAGCATCATCAGCATCAGCAGCATCATCGTCAAGAGCAGCATCATCAGGATCATCAGGATCAGCAGGATCATCATCGGTATCATCAGTTTCATCGGCGTCATGAACATCATCAGCGTCATCATCATTAGCATCAGCATCTTCATCAGCAGCAGCCGCATCAGAATCAACAACAACAGTACTATCATCGTCAACAACAGCATCATCATCATCATCATCAGCATCAGCATCAGCATCATCATCAGCAGCATCGTCGTCATCAGCATCAGCATCAGCATCAGCACCGTCATCAGCATCAAAATCAGCATCGTCATCAGTATCATCATTAATATCACCATCATCAGAATCAGCATCAGCATCATCCGCATCATCAGCATCGTCATCATCATCAAGAGCAGCATCCTCATCATCAGGATCAGCATGATCATCATCGGTATCATCAGTTTCATCGACGTCATCAACATCATCAGCGTCATCATCATCAGCATCAGCATCATCATCAGCAGCAGCCGCATCATCATCAACAACAACAGTACCATCATCATCAGCAACAGCATCGTCATCATCATCAGCAGCAGCATCAGCACCAGCAGCGTCATCGTCATCAGCAGCAACCTCAGCATCAGCATAATCATCAATATTAGCATCAGTATCAGCCTCCACCTCAGCAGCATCGTCATCATCACCACCACCACCATCGGCAAGAGCGACAGCACCATAATCACCATCCTCACCATCATCATCATCATCATCAGCATCATCATCATCTCATCATCATCAGCGTCATCATCATCGTCATCAGCATTGTCATCATCATCCTCATCATCGGCAGCCTCATCAGCAACAGCATCGCAGCATCGTCATCTGCATCATCATCATCACCATCATCAGCATCATCATCGCCATCCTCAGCATCAGCATCACCATCATCGGCATGTTCAGCATCATCAACCTCGTCATCGGCATCAGCATCATCAGCAGAAATAGCATCATCATCAGCAGCAACAGCATTAGCAGCAGCATCATCATCATCAGCAGCAGCAGCGGTAGCATCATCAGCAGCAGCAGCATCATCATCACCACCATCCCCTCTTGCATACGATCCTGCTCATGGCTCTGCTCCTGAACATGGTGTTGCTCATGCGTTTTCTATATCACCTTTCTACCGTTTATGTTGCTCATGTTCCTTCTCGTCCTCATCCAGTTCCAGCTCCCGTCCTCGCGCCGCCTCAACTCAACGTCTCTCCCTCAGGCTCTCAGACCATTGAACGATGCAAAACGTTGGAGGCAGGCCACTTCGGCATCTCGGAGGCTGTATTGCGGCGTATTGCGGTCCCAGTGAAACCCTCCAAGAGCACCAAAGGCGCTATCAAGGTACAAAAGCGACTAAACATAAACACGGGGAACCACACACACACACACAGCCACACAGCCACACAGACACACACACACACACACACACACACACACACACACACACACGCATTGGTTATAAAGTTGTGTCAATGAAGGGGTTGGCTCTTGGAGGGCACTTGGAAGCCCCAATGGAACATCTTGGGGATGCGATGGGCCCTGATAGGCAATCATGGGGTGTTCTTCGGGGGCGCGTTGGTGCATTCTTCCCGTACGGAAAACCTCAGCGTAGGCAACAAGCCCGTCAACGTAAGGAACCATTCTTGACAACACTGAACTCGAAACTCTACCAAAAAACACCTGCTTGCAAAACGGGATACAACACGTGTAGAATGAGACGGGTGTCATGCCATCCGCTTTTTAGAGATGGAGCAAGAGAAAGAGAGACAGAGGAAATCCGCCGACCCTGTCGGCGTGTGTGAGGGGCTTTTCCGTTCGAGCCGTCATCTCCGTCATTCTTTGTACTCGTCGTCTCTGTCCTTCCCTTTCCCTGGGAGACCTCTTCCCCTGGGCTCCAGCCAAGCCGACCTTGAGCAACCTCGTAATTGAGTCGAAGGGAAGCCCCTTCCCTTTGATCCCTCCCCCGCCGGGAGGGGGGGGGGGGTAGCGACCCCCCCCCCGGGTCAGATACGACGCCCCCCCCTGGGACTCCTCTTCCCCTGGGCTCCAGCCAAGCCGACCTTGAGCAACCTCGTAATTGAGTCGAAGGGAAGCCCCTTCCCTTTGATCCCTCCCCCGCCGGGAGGGGGGGGGGGGTAGCGACCCCCCCCCCGGGTCAGATACGACGCCCCCCCCTGGGACTCCTCTTCCCCTGGGCTCCAGCCAAGCCGACCTTGAGCAACCTCGTAATTGAGTCGAAGGGAGCCCCTTCCCTTTGATCCCTCCCCGCCGGGAGGGGGGGGGGGGTAGCGACCCCCCCCCCGGGTCAGATACGACGCCCCCCCTGGGACTCCTCTTCCCCTGGGCTCCAGCCAAGCCGACCTTGAGCAACCTCGTAATTGAGTCGAAGGGAAGCCCCTTCCCTTTGATCCCTCCCCCGCCGGGAGGGGGGGGGGGTAGCGACCCCCCCCCCCGGGTCAGATACGACGCCCCCCCCTGGGACTCCTCTTCCCCTGGGCTCCAGCCAAGCCGACCTTGAGCAACCTCGTAATTGAGTCGAAGGGAAGCCCCTTCCCTTTCATTCCTCCCCCGCCGGGAGGGGGGGGGGGTAGCGGGGGGGGTAGCGACCCCCCCCCCGAGTCAGATACGACGCCCCCCCCCCGTACCGACCTTGAGCAACGTCGTCATTGAGTCGAAGGGAAGCCCCTTCCCTTTCCCTTCCCCGACGGGGGGGGGAGAGGAGGTCCCGGGGGGGGTCCCGGGGGAGTCCCGGGGAAGTCCCGGGTCAGATACGACACCTCCCTCCCCCACCTTCTCGTCCTTCTCCCCGTTCCCCCAAACCATCCCACAGCCCGTGCCTCTTGCTGCGCATTGCGAACAGGGTCGGCGGCACCGGCCGTCAGGCCTTCGCAATAATGCGACGTGCACGACCCTTTCCACACATGTGGCGACAATACAGAGGACCTATCAATACAAACGAACGTGTTCAAGGACCCGCAGAAGCCCACGAAAGTGGCGACAGTGGCGCACTCCGTAGCCACACAGGGAGCCGCGAGGCCTCGGCTGTGTATGTTTACAACTCCACTGGACTGGGTCCCAGAAGCCCACGAAAATGGCGAGAGTGGCACATTTCCCAGCCACCCAGGGAGCCGCGAGGCCTCGGCTAGGTCTGTTGACAACTCCCCTCCGCTGGGCCTCCCAGGAACCCGAGAAAGT